CGCCAGTGTCTCGCTCGTCCCTTTTACATAGGGGACGCTAATGCGCGCGATGGGGCGGGGCTGTGTGTCACCTGGCGATCCATGGTTATTGCGTGCGCAACACTGTCTTGTTTTTGTGTTGTTCAAGGTGTCGACCGTCGACAGTGTTGCATGCACAATAGCCATGGATCGCCGGGTGCAAAGTCTTTTGACAAGGTATCACCATAGCCTCCTCTATACGGAGAAAGCCTGGCACATCGACGACGGAGCCATAGGGCGCGCGGCCGCAGGAAAAAGGAGAGGAGGAGCGCGCCGAACGGTGACCAATATGGTAGCGCAGAGCAGAAAGGGCAGACCTAGACAGCGAGCGCTTGGATCATGAGCGGCCGCTCCCTGAACCACGCTTGTTTTTGTGTTTTCGTCACCGTCGTTTTCGTACTCCGGGAGAAACGGGCGCGGCGATTCGAAAGGGCGCAGGGAGAAACGGGAAAGGGTGGACGTTGAGTTTCTCCTCTCCACGATAGCGACAAGAAAAGAGAGAGAGAAAAAAAAAGATTGTTTCTGCGTTTGGCCGCTCGCTCTTTTGTGGCGCTAGCAGGCAAGGTTCTCTCCGCTCCCGTTCCTCCGCCCCTCCTTTCCCATTTACGGCGGCCGTCTTTTCTCGCGACGCGCCAGGCTTTCTCCGTATAGAGGAGGCTATGGTATCACATAATATGCTCCGCTCCGTAAACTGAGTAAACTGGACATTGAACTTGACATGTTTAATTAGCATTTCAACAGATCGCTTTTTTCAGTTATATTAACGACCTTCCCAGTATTGTCTCATCGATCAAATTATTTAGTGGCGACTGTGCCATCTGTCAAATATCTAATGACTCTGACTTAAAATAATGACAGCTTGATTTAGATTCTATTTTTGAATGGTATGAGCTTTGATCACTGAGCGTAAACATTAAAAAGTGTAAACTAAGGCGGATTCACGCATGGCCCGGAAGGTTAGCTTTACTGTATAACTAACTCTTCGATGCCCAAAGCTTTACTTGCTTTGGGCATCTTTACATACTTTACTTTGCGAAACTCAGTGCCATCTGGTGGCTCAAAGGGAAGTTTAACTTTTGCCGTACTGATGGAGGTAGTCTGCAGTATTCTACCGGGCACCGTCAGTTTCGCAAGTTAACAGCAGACGAGAGTGCGCGCTTCACTGTGCAGTTATTTCTCAGTTTCTTCCAATGTTGATGGTTACAAACATACAACCGGTTGGAATGAAGCGCCGAAATACATAGGCGCCTTTATAAAGTTCAATACATCAAGGAGCTTTGGAGCCGATCGTCTGCTGGATGGCGCGTGAGCTAGAAATTAACGCTTCCGCAGCTCTGCCGTTCAATTCCCGGATGGCATCGTGTTCACGCCTCGAATGTATGGGCCTAGAATCACCCACTTAGGAGCACATTCAATTTCTTCTTTTATCATTCACCGGAAGTACGGCACATGTGCCATTCCCCGGATGATGATGATAGTGATCGAAATTACCAGACTCAATTTTGGAAAGTGTCTATACTGGAGCTCTCCAAGCCCAAATGCGCCTTTAGAACACACAAAATAACAAAAATCTGATCTAAACAAAAAAAAATACCTTTTCATAAACATTTTTTTTTTTTAAATATTGCTCGTCAACAACATTGGGCATTTGCAACACTACTTCATGTCGAAAGACTGATAGCAGTTACGACCTGGGAGAAGGCAAGGGGGCATTTCGAATTTTCCACTGTAGAGAAAGGTGTAAAGAAATTTGCAATTGTTGCGCCTTTTTTTTCTTTTTCTCACCGATTTGGGAGTAGTGGTGCACGCCATCCACTCACATGCACTATCTGCTTTGGTTTTATAAACGAGTGATCTGTTTTGAAGATGCATTTCGATCGTTCACTGCTAAGCGCAGGCATCCTCGCCCTTGCGACAGAGGGCTCTGAATTAGTTTAGGCGCACATGGCGCGGTAGAAAATGAATCATGCTTGAGTTGTTGCTCCTGAGAAATGCTGGGAATCGGATGGTTAATAACCCAACACTAGAGTTTGTAAACGCTCACGAATATCTAGGAGTAGTGCTAAGTTTTCATCTTTCCTCGAACCTGTATATTAATTACCCGACCAGTAACGCTAACCGCTTAAAATAACTTGGTTTAAACGTATCGTTTCTCTGAGCAACCTCATCGCTGAAACCGTTTCCTTATAAAACATTAGTGCGGTGAAGGCATGAGTACGCAGCCTCCATCTGGCATCCGAGTACCGCCTACCTTAATGGTTCAATTTGTTGTTTTTGTTTTCGTTTTGTTTTTCAGAAAAAATCCGCGCGTTTTATTTTGGGTAATTATAATCGCAACGCAAGCGTAACATCAATGACATATATTTTATTTCCACCCACCCTCGCATATCGCCGCAAAAGTTCTACTATTTGTCTTTCTCACAACGTTTTCCATTACAACACTGTACTAACAAATCTGCTCATAACCCCACCACCATTTGTTTCCGCACGTCTGGACCACCGTCACAAAGTAGGCATTCCATTTATCTATTTTAACATATATATCGCGTCATTTTCTTTGGAGATTCAACTGAATGGAATCATCGACCTGCATCGCTTACACCAATTGCTATTTGGGTTGCAGCAAGGTTTTCTCGTTTAAGTGCTGTAAACCTTTGTATCCCCCGTTGTTTAACTGTTATATATATTCTACGATTTCGTTGTTCTCTCACCACTCTACTCTGTAATACTCCTGGCCCTGAGGATAGAATAAATGAATAAATAAATAAATAAAAAGTTAATAAATAAAAGAATATGTATATATGTCGACTTTTCCCTTGCACAAAAGCGGGGCCAACTAATGGTCTGAATCATCTTAAGCCACCTTTACTTATAGGATCGCATATTTATCCCGATTTAATAGTCGTTTTGTCAAAATAAATGACGCAGTAACTCACATCTTCAAAGTGCGCTGTTTTTTTGTTTTTTTTTGTAAACTATTTTGTTGATTTATTGGCACAGGCCAATAAACAGCAAAATCGTGTTGGATTTTCTACTTCTTGGCCTTTATTTCAGATGGGCACTTTAATCATAAAAAAAATGCCCCCCCCCCCCCTCGATTACGCGTTCATCTACAATTACAACTAGGGCCGTCAACAAAACGAACGGCCGCATAGCCCCATACAAGTTTTAACAGCGGAAGCTCAAAGCATGAATCATCCGTTTTATAAGCCGTTAGTCGATTTAACCTTCGTAAGTCGACAGTTGTGGGGCAATTAAACTTTCCTCGCAGAACGGCCTCGTTCCAGTATGCGCTTGAACAATTTGAAAGTTCACTTCCCGTCATAACTTTATGTCGAAGTGATGTATATTCGATGGTGCTTAATCGAATTTATTTCTCCATCGACTGACCTCCGTAGCTCAATGAAGGTGAATCGATGCAGTTTTCTTGTTTCGAGTAATATTGATATGAAGCATCTGCTCTCGTTTTCTTCCTCTCCTCTCTCTCTTACACACTCTCGTTCAATGTTTGACTACGTTTGGCTAATAATAGAGCGTCGGCTGAAGGCAGGCAGGAAATGCCGTAATTCCTCAATCACTAAACTCGTTGAACCACGCCAGACTAAAAATTACAGTTCTTAAAGGCCGACATGCAACCTCGGTTTTCTGCAAGGAAGACAGTCTTCTTAACGCTTCCGCTTCCCCCCCCCCCCCCCCCCCCCCCGGTCACACCTAAGCTGCGAAGGGGAGCCAAGTTGGAGCATGGAGCAAGGTAAGGCGGCTAGCTTTAGGTCTACCCACTACTTATACCAATCAGAGCTCGCTGTTCTGACGTCCTCCGCACGCTCTCGTCTCCTCTTCTTCCTCAGTTTCTCGGCGCATAAGGATGCCCACTGCAAATAAAATATTCGAGACCTTAACCGGCCATTGAGTTTCCAATGGAAAAATACCTTTACTTTTAGTGCAAATATGTGTGTAGACCCTCTGAGGCAAAGGACCAGTGTCAATTCGTGACTCGCCTGAAACCTAAATTTACACTTTCTATTTTTAACACACAAACATGTTACATTCTTGAGAGGGTCGCAGTGCGGCCAGTCCACTTTTTAGCCCACCCTCCCCGAAGCGCCGTTTATTTGATATTTTGAAAAGTTTCAAATACGTGACTGTTGTGCTGTCTTGTTTTAAACTTGTCCTCGGTTCCGAAGAGTGTCACGGCGAAACTTCTGACGCAAAACTCTGGAAAACTTCGTAACGCTCCACTTTATTTACGAAACCTTGGCACCGACCGGAACACTTCAGCTATTGGAATAATGCCACTCAGTCTTCACTCCTGCGCGCTTTCTTTTTCCCTCGCTGTCTCAACACCCTTCACTCATCCTTCTGTTTTTACCCTCTCGCCGCTTGAAATACTGTTCTCGTTCGTTTTGACAGCCATTTACACGACCTATCTTATGAGCCCCTCGGGCTTTAACGATTTTTTTTTTTATATTGTTGAACTTGCTTTCTTTATGCTGCTGAATTGCCCTCTCATATTCTTCCAGCTTCTGTATTATGTTAAACTTTTAAAGTAACGAGTAATAGACCCTTTTCGAAACTCAGTCTGCCCACTTTGATCACTATCATCATCATCTGAAAACGGCATATGCAAGGTATATGTACAGATGGTAGCGAAACTTGGGCCAAAACACGGTACAAAACAAATTGCCAGCGACATCAACCAGGAGGGTCACGTGGTTACGGTGCGTTTGAAGCGCGACTAGGAGACGTTATGGCAAACTATATACAAATAAAATAACTTTAATTTAAATTATACTAAATTGTATTTTTAAATTTTGTATGTTGTTATTAGTGGTCTTAAATAAGGTTTATCGCGCTCGAGAAAGTTGAAATAGCTTTTATTACTACTGATATTCTAACTTGCCCTTAGCGCCCTCTGTACTGCACAAGCAACAAGGCTGGCTTTTAATAGCGATAAATTGCAGAGGCATCGTGCTGCACGAAGAGGCAGGTTCTTGTTGTCCGTCTGCTTGCTTCTTTTAGGTCTCCACGTGCTTTTTGAATCGTTCTACCGTCACTTCAAATAGTTTGAAAAGTTTCGTTCGCTCAGCCTGATTACGCAAGTTACGTGCGCAGGAGCGTAATATCAGCGTGATATAGGAACAGTCACCTTCGTGCGGTTGGACGCTACTGCGTCCGACGGGCTCAACGTCCTTCGTGACAATGAGCTCAACACGTTATGCAACCAGGTGTTGCTCCGTGGAAGAATGCCGAAGTGACAACCGCACGGCTGGCGTCTCGCTGCACCGGTTTCCTGTCGACACTCGAAGGTGAGATTTTGTTCCTGTCAGTGAGGTGCCTGCTGTGTTGTGGCCATGACCCCCTTGTAAAATGTTCTCTTAACTGTTGTTAGTTTTCGCTGACTTTGCAGCGTTGTTCGCGCTCATTACGAAAGCGCCCAGGATATTTGAATTTACCTGAACCGATTTGCCCCTCAGGAGTATGGGGTCATACTCATCGACGCTCTAATCAAGGATGCAACACGACATAGATACATTTAAAAGCCTCTGCACTAAAGGCTCATGTTTATCTTTTTGTGGTTCATACAGAGACTTTTGCTCACTAATCTGTGAATGTCCTCGCTCCGATTTGCTTTGGTGTGTGCACATATTGGCTACATTTGCTCTTTGCAAGTACGCAAGACACTTAGATAGCACCGCGCTTTATCCGCAGGCGTGAAGCATGGGTTCGGTTCTCCAACAACCGGGGCCTACAGTGGAAGACTCCATGGCAGCTACGAAACATGGTTGTTTGCTCTTTACATTTCAAGGCGTCAGCTTTCCTGCGGCCTGGATACCTACGCCACAATGCAGTGCCGACTGTGCTTGCCCCTGAAGGTGACCAGACCACTAGACCTTCCGACGCGCTTTGAGAATAACCATGTCAAGGCCCACTGATTAGGGAAATAGTTAGCACATGGGCCCGAAAAATTGCTTTTGTGGACTTATAACATTTATGCAATTTCACAGAAACGACACGTGGCGAAGTTTCAAGCGAGAGCTGTACAGTTTCTGCAGTGGCAAATGGTGAGCTTTTTCGCTGTACCTACCATAAAGAGGAAGCAAAGGCCGTCACCACTGTGTTAGTTCATGTTCTTCATCACTTGAGCATTTTGCTATAGAATAAAGTGTGCTTGGACAAATGTGGGGAATCAGATAGGAGTCATTGATTGAGTCTCATTCCAGGCCTCATTTACTACATTTTTAACCTCAGGTGAGTAAGCGACTCCAATATGGGCCCACAGACCTGCATTGTCCACGTTGACAAGCAGCTTTCGGAAATGACGCTGTCCTTGAAATAAGGTTATTTCCCTTTTCCGATGTTAAATATAAGCGAATTGGGGAGAAATTCAACCGCTACTCTTTCACTAATTTCATATTAAATTTGCAGGAAGGAGTTCTCCAGCCCCACCGACCTACCGATACCCGGGCCGCTCGGACTCCCAGAGTTCCTGTGGCATTCCTGTCGACCAGTCTTCCGAAATGGAACTGTCCTTAGAAGAAGGTGATTTTTATTTTCAGATTTTAAAATAGGAGAATCAACCAAGAATTCAACCGCTACTCCTTCAATAACTTTGTGTTAAATATGCAGGGAGGAGTTCTCTATCTTCATCGAGCTGCACATCCTCCAGCCGCCCAGACTCGCGGAGTTCCTGTGGCATTCCTGACGACCAGTCTTCCGAAATGGAACTGTCCTTAGAAGAAGGTGATTTTTATTTTCAGATTTTAAAATAGGAGAATCAACCAAGAATTCAACCGCTACTCCTTCAATAACTTTGTGTTAAATATGCAGGGAGGAGTTCTCTATCTTCATCGAGCTGCACATCCTCCAGCCGCCCAGACTCCCAGAGTTCCTGTGGCATTCCTGACGACCAGTCTTCCGAAATGGAACTGTCCTTAGAAGAAGGTGATTTTTATTTTCAGATTTTAGAATAGGAGAATCAACCAAGAATTCAACCGCTACTCCTTCAATAACTTTGTGTTAAATATGCAGGGAGGAGTTCTCTATCTTCATCGAGCTGCACATCCTCCAGCCGCCCAGACTCGCGGAGTTCCTGTGGCATTCCTGACGTACGGTCTTCAGAAATCGAGCTGTCACTGGAAGAAGGTGATTTTTTTTTTTAATAGGAGAATCAACCAAGAATTCAACCGCTACTCCTTCAATAACTTTGTGTTAAATATGCAGGGAGAAGTTCTCCATCTTCATCGAGCTGCACATCCTCCAGCCGCCCAGACTCGCGGAGTTCCTGCGACATTCCTGACGTATGGTCTTCCGAAATCGAGCTGTCACTGGAAGAAGGTGATTTTTTTTTAATACGAGAATCAACTAGGAAGTTAACCGCTATGCCTTCAATAACTTCATGTTAAATTTGCAGGGAGGAGTTCTCCAACTTCATCGACCTGCACATACTCCAGCCGCCCAGACTCGCAGAGTTCCTGTGGCATTCCTGACGACCAGTCTTCCGAAATCGGGCTGTCCCTGGAAGAAGGTAATTTTTTTTTTCATTTTCAGATGTTAAAAAAGTAGAATGAATCTGAAATTCAACCACTAATTCACTGTTTTCACATTACCTTCGCAGAGGGATGTTCGTCAGCTTCGTGGGACCACACATATTCCTGTCTCCCACTAGAGAACAGTCCACTGGAGGCTCATGGTAAGTGATGGGAGAGCAGGGCGTTTCTGCGCGCCTTGTTGCTCTGACTTTTTTGTGTTTTTTGCTCTTACTACAGTTATTGTAACAGCACTTTCTATTTTTTCTATTTATTTTGAAGCTGATCATAGCTACGCCCTTCCTCAAAATGCTGTTCCTGCTCACGAGTCCAGCGGAGACATGGCTGACATGGCGCCGTCGATTTATGGACCGTCACCTGAGGACTCTCTCTCTAGCAGTGCCGGTGTACTTTCTCACAGAGATAAGTGCTCTTTCATTTTACCTCTTGCACCTTTTTGTTTTGTATTGTTAAAGTGCACAAATTAGTCGCCGAACATAAACAACCAAGGCTAGTTATAGGTATCAGATGACTTGAAGATACTAAAATTTATTCTGAAAGTTGGCGGTACATACAAGGGTACATATAGCACTATGTCACAGAACACAAGGCCGGATGGCAGCCAGCTACAAACTGGAGTCAGTTGAAAATCCACCATTTATTTGTGCTTCACATTATTATATTTAAAGTAATGTATACAAAATGTTCATAAAGTTTCACAGACGAACCACCAAAACACCTGAATGGGTTTCACTGAATGGTAATGCAATAATCTTTTCGCAAAGCCTCGTGTAAGGCAGCATTTTTTATAGCTAGCTAAAAACTGCCTGGGCCATACGTGCATGATGCTAACCTTATTTAAATTTAATTTGCACGTATGTAGTACGTTATCAAACTTTTCACTGTACCTGGTTTTAAAAAAAAATTGTGCAACTTGACAAGGAATGCAAGTTCTTATTGGCCACCATTTACATATATATAAACATTTTTACAGTTTACTGATCTGGGTGATTTGTCACCTTGCAGTATCAAGCAAGGCCCGCAGCACTGACAAGAGAAAGATGGACGCACTGAGGGCCAAGGTACCCTTAGCGAAAACTAGGTTACTTTAAGTATACTTTACGGTCTTTTAAGATACTCATTCTCAAGAAGTATACTAAAATTGTCCTTAAAGGATGCTAGCCAGAAGTAGGCTTGTACTATTAGTGTCCTTTCTTAGTATGCTTGAAGTAAGTACTGTAATAGTATAGTTTTAGTAAACTAGCTAAGACCGAAGTAGCTTCTAAGTTCATGCGAAGCGTCTTACTAGTAGCCTGCCCTGGGTATCTTTTAGTGCACTAGAAGAACGTTATGGAAGTAAGCTGGAAGGATCTTGTAAGTATTCGTGCAGTGACTTATCAGTTGCCTCTCTAAGGTTTCTTTTAGTGAACGAAAAGTTTACTATGGAAGTGCGCTGAAAGGATATTCGGAGCATGCACCGAGTATGCTTAGCTGCGCTCACCATGAAATGAGGACAACATTGGGCTTCGTCGCTGTGTCTGTGTCATGAAATGGCGTCAGCAGCTCGCGTTGTTTCGAGCGCTGTGGCGTTTCAGTGCTGTACGTGAGCCCCCTGATCAAGTTCTCAGCGTTCCGGTGGCAGGCGTGACCGACTACGTCTGCGATTGCACCGTCCCAGAATGAGTGTAGTGACCATTATACGTTGCGCACACGCTGTGGACGCGTAGCTTCCCGGCGTGGCGATCAAGAAATGAGCCGCCTGGAAACGACAACAATAGTTGCGTTGACGCAGTGGTTACCCCTCACAAGAGCGCAAGAAAAACTGTGAAAGGTACGTTCAGTTGATATCTTCAGGAATATGAAAGGTAGCCACTGCAGTCTCAGCGTAGTTGTTGTCGTTTCCAGTTCGCTCTCGGTGAGCAGCCTGCAACAGCGAGTGAGATAAGCTATTACCGTTTGATCCACCAGCTTCGGGAGGCTGATATCCGATCGCAACCCGCAAAAGTCAGGAGCTTGGCGGATGAATCCGAACACCGCGTACAAAGAAAGTGATTGCTTGGTGACAATCAACAAATATGCGAGCATGACCGACTACGTCTGTGATTCCATCGTTTAATCATCAGTGCTACGTGTTATTTGCCCCACCAACATCGACGAGCAATCTTCTGTCGTCAATAGTTCTCAGTCGGATTATAAAGCAGTGCAGTTTGTGTAGTGGTGCACCGGGTCGCGAAATCGATGCTCCTGAGTTTCGTCGACGCAGAAAGAACAAGCTTCATCGTGTCTGCGTCTGAGAGCTCCGCGTGGTTTCATTGCAGTGTTAAAATTCGAATGATTTGGGGTCTGTTGCTGTCGTGACGCGTTTGAGTTCTTGGTATTTCTATCAGTCGTGAGCGTGACCGACCACATTTGCAAATACGTCGCTTTTCAGACTTAAGCTAGGTGGCGCAAGCTACCGCCCGTTACAAAGTGCGTTGCAAGGTACCGCAGCAGACTCTGTACCGCAGTAGTATCCATGCCCATACAATCATCCAGATGGTGCCGGGTTGATCAGCCGTCAGTTTTGTTGTCTTTATATAACCCAGTTTTTTTTATGAACGTTCGATGATGTTACTTCGAAAACTTTAGCATTCAGAAGTGGGATACCGCTGAGCCTTCCCGGAACAGTGGTGGCTGCGACAGCCACGTTCACGCCGACGAACGTGAGTCTTCTTCGCGGGCGGTGGTGTGCGTCCATTGTTTCGCCACCGACGAGAGGCCGTTCAGTGTTCCCGTTGACTCGACGAGAAAGTACAGCCATGGCCGCGGACCGTGAGCTCGTACGGACCCTAGCGTTGCAACCGGGCTTCGCATCGGTGACTGCGATGCCAGACTTGACGGCGTCCATTCCCGCCTTCTCTGACTCGTCGTCGGCAGCGAGCGCCATGAAGTGCGCGGGACTGGGAGGCGCATATCAACACGTTGGCGGCGCAGCGCAGTCCGGGTGGAGCGATGAAATAACGCTCGCTGTTGCTTCATCGAAGGTGAGCGGGACGGCTTGAGTGGCATCCAACGACCGGGAAGCGACTGGAAACTTGGTCGAAATGGGCTGAAGAACTACAGATGGTGTTCCCCGATGATGACGATTCGCACTCTACGAGATGATGCTCCGGCGGACACAGACCGGGTGAGTCCGTCGCTGATTATTTTTTTGACAAGCGCTTCTTCTGCTCGAAGTGTGACGTCAAGGAAATGAGTTTACAATGGCGCAGCTTATAATTGCGCAACTTCGGAACATGAACCACGCTGTGATCCTGCGGCTTCAACAGCGACGTTCGCAACGTCTTTCGAAAATTTGCAAAAACTTGCTGATTTTTTTTCTTGAAATCACTCGTTGCAGAAGAAGCAGCCCACAAGAAAAAAAAAGACACTGTGGAGGACAAGCTTCTCAAAAAGCTTCGCCAGGAGCTGAAAGGTCACAGGGTATGTATAACAACATTTTTGTTAGAAAGTGTTAGCTTTATGGAGAGCACATCAGATTTATATAATGTTGCCATTTTGGTGCTCGGTTAGATATATTTTAATCAATGTCATTATTGCTTTTTCAAGTGTACTTATCAATTATTCATTCATGCAAACTGCAAGCTGTTCAGAACGCTGAAGTAATTGGAGACTGTAGATATACTGTTTCAGTAACCTTTGCATTCTGAGGGCAGATGACATATGATGTTATTTTCCTCAGCATTAGAAAAAGTTGGTGGGCAACGGGAATGCAACTTTGCGGGTCAGTCAGAGGTCACTTCTGGGAAGCAGTTGCTTAGGACTTCCAATGTTATACTTTGTTGTACAACTCTGATAATCTATCATTACTGCTTATATTTTCTGTTTATAGCTCCGTGCATCTTCTGGGGATCCTGAGGACATTGCATCACAAGCTCGAGGACCTGTCTTCGCTGTACCTGCCCTGGCCTCTGCTGAAGAGGCCTCTGCTGAAGAGGCCTCTGCTAGGTCCAGGGAGGCCCGGATAAAGGAGGGGGAGACCTGGGCCAACAATGTCGAGACCAGGGCCAGAGAGCCTCAGACCGGGGCCGAAGCCAGGGCTAATAAGGTCAAAGCCTGGGCCAACGAGGCCGAAGCCAGGGCAGGGCCACCGAGGCTGAAGCCAGCATGGAGCAGGTTGAGACCAGGACCGACCTGACTGGGGGACGCTGAGGCTAGGGCGGCCGAGGCCAGAGCACAGGAGGTCGAGGTTGTAACGTAGCGTCCTCCGCATCCGGATGTAAGATGAAACAGTATAACCTATTTGTCCAGGCCTAACTGCTCGATGTCGCAAATTCGTAACCTCAAAGATTTTTTGCTTAAAAGTTCATTTGCACCAAAAATAACTTTAGTGATCGGTTACATATACACATTTGCAGGTACGTCCCCTGGGCGCCGCCATCTTCCTAGCTGGAGAGCGCGTGAGCTGCGCCATAACCTAATTACGATGCCTTGAGAAGACGTTGTAGTCAGATTATGGCGCGGCCCACAGTGTACCTAAACACCCCCCAGTAAGCAAGATGGCGACGCCCATAGGCCATACTTAGAAAGATGTGTACAAAGCAAAAAAATAAAGTTTAAAACATTTTTTTTTTATCTACACTTTGCTTTAATTCCCTGCGTTAAATGGTCATTAAGCTTCTTCATATCCCAAAATGATGACTACTGCTGCTACCATTCTTTGTGATTCCGTAAGTTTTTTTAGTTAAACTGAATGCTGATATAGGAGAGACTTTTTCAAAATCAGGGTAGGCAATATCTGTGATGGTAAAGCACTGAATCGTGATGCGAGAGCTGACCCTGCTTGGGTTTGGAGTTTGACTGTCTCCATGTTTACACACAGTGTCAATTTTCATGCCTCAATTTGCTGTTCTCCTTACAGGAATAGCTTATGCATTTCTCTTTAAAGTTGCAGCTGTACATCGGTGAAATGGGGCCACTCATAGTATGATATAGAGTGGCAGCAGCATTCTTACTCGATTTGGGAGCGGTTTGTGAAGCGGCGTGTTGACAGTGAGTGCCCGTGTCGAAAGCAGTGAAATATGCACAAAAATACTGAATGTGCACTAGGAGAGAAATTTTGAAAATAAAAGTGACAGCCACTGAACTGAGCTGACTAAGGTCAGGGAATGAGATTTGAGGGGTATTGGGGTGGTGAAGCAGTCTGAAGGGAGAGCAATATTTCTAGTGCAAGTTAAAGGGCTCGGATAATTCCACAAATGGTTTCTTTATGGTGAGTATACACATGTCCAGCATGGGATTTCAGGCTTGAATTTCACAGCTTCATGCTTTCCCACCATTCGTATTAAAAGTTTGAAGTCTAGGAGCAAGTTTGGTGCAGTGTTTGCTTTAATCGTGTGCACTTTTAATTTTCCTTAATGTTAAACCAGGTGTCACATGTGTGTAACTTCAAAGCGCCTGTGATTTCAGTGTTGACTGTTGAACCAGTAATTTTCTTATAATTTGATGCTTCCTACCGGCAGGTGTGCCACCCCTTGTTGCGGCCATGGAGACTCGTGGAGTGGCAGGCCCTGTGGTTCAAGAGGATATTGTGTAGAGTATGGTATGTAACAATTTTTTTTCTTCACATCGCAGTTAAAGGTGTGAATCTTTTTTCTTGTCTTTTTCCTAACCGTAATGGCTCATTCACACAAAATTTTGACGCTGCGCGTCAAAATTTGATCAGATTATTTTGATGCTCCAACCACAATCGCAGACTTTTGACGCTGGGTGTCAGAACTCTGTGGAATATCCTGTGGCAAGCGGATCGATCAAAGACCTTTTTGATCTTTTTTTTCTTTTTTGCTGGAGAAAACTTTTTAATTAGAACAAAAGGCAGGAATTCTATTGCCATATGTCACACCAGGGAATGTCAGCTTATGTGCAGCAAGAAAATGAATTTCGGCGACGCGAGGATGTCTTGTGCAAGGCTCTGTCACATGCCTCCTCAGCTTGCAATGGCCTTGCCGCTTGCCTTCCTTGTCTTGCTCGGCCTTTTCTGTCCTCAGCTACAGTTGGTTTGCGACAGCACACTGCCTTTTGGTGCCAGGGTAGGTAGATGCAGCTTTTAAAAAAGGTCTATTGCATCCTTTGTGATA